ATTACTACAAATCACATTCAAGATTTAAAAAAATTACTTTAGGAATATATTTTCTTCTTTGATTAAAAAAAACCAATTTATTATTATTATGGCTCGTAGATATGATGCTAGAACTACCATTTTCTCCCCTGAAGGTAAAATAAATTAATTAATATACAATGAAAAATTTAATGCATATTACTGTAAATTTTTTGTGAAAAATGCATTAGGTAGACTTTACCAGGTTGAGTATGCTATGGAAGCTATATCTCATGCCGGTACGGCTTTAGGCATTCTCGCGTCTGATGGTATTGTTATTGCTGCTGAGAAAAAAGTAACATCAAAATTGTTGGAACAAACAACGACAAGCGAGAAAATTTACCTTTTGAACGAGTAATTAACATTTTATGATTAATTCTTTCCTTCTTTACTTTATTCAAACTTAATTTATGTATTCTATTCATTTGATGAACTTCAAAATATTTGGAATAAAAAAGTAATGTCATTGGTGGTGTAGCAGGGATTACTGCTGATGCCAATATTTTAATATATTATGCTCGTCAAGTTGCTCAACAATATCTTTATACTTATGATGAAGACATTCCTGTTGAACAACTAGTACAAAAGTTATGTGATTTAAAACAGGGATATACACAATACGGAGGTATTTATATAAAGTTCTTTTTTAAATTTTTTTTTTTTTTTTTAAAAAAAAAAAATGTTTTATCAAAAAAAATATTAATATAAATATTATTTATTAGGATTGCGTCCTTTTGGTGTATCATTTATTTATGCCGGCTATGATAGTCATCATGGTTTTCAACTTTATCGTTCTGATCCATCTGGTAATTACGGCGGATGGAAAGCAACATGTATTGGAGCAAATAACGCATCTGCACAATCTTTATTAAAACAAGATTATAAAGATGATATTACGCTCAAGGAGGCCAAAGAATTAGCTGTTAAAGTTTTAAGTAAAACAATGGATTCTACTACTTTAAGTAGTGAAAAATGTAGGTCAATAATTCAAATTTTTTTTTTAATTATCTTTTTCGGAAAAAAAATTAATATACATTAATTATTTTATTAGTGGAATTCGCCACCGTTAGTCGTAATGATGAAAACAAAATTGCATATCATCTTTATAAACCTAGTGAAATTGATGCCTTATTGAAGGAACATAATTTAGGAGGTCAAGAAACTGAACAATGAAAAAAAAGATTTTTTTTTAAAAATTTTTAGAAAATAAAAATAAAATATTTTATTATCGTTCAAACTATATAAGAATAAAAATTTTTCAAATTTTAAAGTCATCTTTTATTTCATCCTTAACCACTTAACCGAAGAGATCCAATCCCATGTCATCATCAGATTCCTCTTCAGGTTCTTCTTCTTTAGCTGGTGCGGCTTGACTAGTTTCGGTTGCAGCGGCAGCAGCTGGTACAGCAGCTGCAAAAGCACTTGGATCTTCAAGATACGCCTTAATCTGTTACAATAATCAATGAATTAGTTATATAATATACTCAATAAGGAAAATTAACAAATTCGATAATTCGATATACTCGAAAACCATCAGTAAAAAATTAGAGTGTATATATAAATTTGTGCAGTCATTGTAAATCCTTCAATAAAAAATCATCATATGGTTCAATTAATAATGAATAAAAGACTTACCTTTTCAGAAGCAGGGAAAGTGTAATCAGTACTAACAGAAATGGCTAAAAGGTTCTTAAATCCATTGATAAGAGAATGGGGAACGGAAGCCAATGTAGGATAATTAATTTGCAAAGAAAGAGCGGCAATCCTTCTGATTCCTTCCATTAAATGGCTAAGTAAAGCTGATTCCTCAATATCAAGGATATTTGGAGAAAAGGTATTGCCATTATCATAAATTTGAGTAATAGTCATCCCATAAGTAAATGGAGAGATGTTTAGCATGTTAAGCAACGTAGCTTCGGAAGCCCCGACTTTTGTTCCCAATTTAACCAAATGTACTTGATTAATGATTTCAATTGTACCACGAGCAATTTTGGTTGGAACACCAAGAGCCTGGAAAAAAGAGGTCTTTCCCGGTTCCATACCAGTATTACCCGCTGGCACAAATACATCAATAGGGGCAACAGCACCAGCTTTAGCAGGAGCTTTAACCTAATATCGAGTTTAATAGATTTAAGTAATTGTTTCCGACAAATTGAAAATTCTTATGTTACAACTTACTCTGTTAGATAAGATCACATCACGGGTTTCTTTTAAATCTCCATTGGTGAAGACGAACCCAATATTCCCTTTTACATGTGGTAAAAGTCTTTCATATTGAGGATTATCAGATATAAGACCCTTAAGAGCTCTTCTAACCATTGTATTCTTTCCCATCAATACAACAGCTTTCCCACGAAGGATGTGACGAATTTGATGCATTTGGTTGGACCCAACATTATCAACATTCACAATGAATATGGAAGGAAATTCTTCCAATAAAGCCTTAAGTTTGACAAAGTATTCCGATTTTTTTGCGCGAACGTCTCCCTTTGACATCTTCAAATTTTTCCAACAAAAAAGTTTAAGTGTTCAAGGGGATCCTATCAGGAAGCTTAAAGATCGTTCTGATGAAATACAAAGAGACGGATCGTTAATCTATTATTCAAACGAACAAAATGTCTTTGATAAAAATTTACACGAGCTACAATGATTCAATTTTATTCATTTGAAATTTTCTTTCAATTATCAATAACCTCTTAATTAAAAAAGTGGACTTAATTACGATTTATATGGATGAATTAATAGGATAAAAGACAATTCGAACAATTTCTATCATTTTTATTTTTTTTTACCTACCACAAATATAAGATTAGCGATTTAAAGAAAAATATTTGATTCCAGAGAAAAAAGATTTTATATATCTGATTAAATTTTCAAAAAATCAACCAATCAAGTTTGATGTGATGCAACCAGTAATTTCATTTCACAACCAACAAACCTTCGATACGAAGAAATACAAATTTAATTTTATAAATACTTTGCCACGGGCTTTGAACTTTTATTTAGCTTTCACTTTAAAACAGTGGAATTCCTTAATAGCCTTAACAGCCAGGTTTAAAACATGGGAATCCTTCTTTCTAAATTATGGCGTAAACTTACCAGTAAAGAGGAGGTGAAAATCGTGCTCGTCGGGTTAAATAACGCGGGAAAAACAACAGTTTTGTATAAATTGTAAATATTTATGTTAAACATGTCTTTTTTCATGGAGGGATTTTTTTTTAATTAGTTCATAGTAATTTGAAACGATACTTTACCAAAAATAAGGGTTGAAACTTTTATTTTTTTCCGAATAGATTATTAAATGAAGTAGTTGTAACAACACCAACCATAGGTAGTAATGTCGAGGTAATTGCGATGAATTTATACGTGCCCAATCTTTAATTAAACTTATGAACCGAACATTTTTTAATTTGCTTATTTTTATTTAGGAAATCATTTATAAAAATATTCATTTCTTAATGTGGGTGAGTTCCTCTCGCTTATTCTCTTATATATCAGTTTTATATCACACTCCTCAAGTTTTCTTGTAAATCCTATTAATATAGGATCTCGGTGGGCAAGATTCTTTACGTGCAACATGGAAGACCTATTATATAAAAACAAAATCTGTAATTATGGTCATTGATAGTACTGATAAAGATCGATTACATTTATCAAGGACTGAATTGCATACGATGATGGAGGATGAGGTAGTTGCATAAGAATATTCTTTAGAATTTTTAATAATATTAATTAATTCTTTATTAAATAATAGAATCTTAAAAGTGCTGTATTATTAGTATTTGCAAATAAGCAAGATATGAAAGGGGCATTAACTGCTGCACAAATATCTGAAGCTTTAAATTTAACAAGCTTAAGAGATCGTCAATGGCATATACAGGTAAATTAAAATTCCATAACGATTTTTAAGACTATTAAAGTTCTAACTTAATTTTCTCAATCATATTTGTAACTCTTTAAGGCATGTTGTGCGTTATCCGGAGATGGGTAAATATATTTTGGATTTTTGAAATTTTTTTTATAAAAAGAATATTAAAGTTAATTATTTAATTTTAAAGTTTATTTGAAGGACTTGATTGGATTGTGAGCCAAATTGGAAATGCTTAAGTGTATTAATAATTGTATATGAGAAACTATTTTTCTGAATATTTATTTAACCAATAATATTATCGAGTTATATTATAATATAGAAAATTTAGATTCAATTTTAATATAAACCCAATTATCTAGTAACTTTTTCCATTCCAAACGAGATAATTTAATGAAGATCGACTAATTATATCCCCAAAAACAATTTTTGTGATAGTCTCCTAAAATATAATCTTAATAAGTTTTATTTATCAGTTATTATGATGGTCAATTATATTATTGTTTTTCCAATTGAGGCAAATTTTGAAATTGAGGCAGAAATATCTAGTACTCTAATTTAAAATTAATTACTAATATTGGTAAAATTTTTAATTGAATTTTTTATTTTTATATTTATGCAGATAATTGTATTTATTAAAACTTTATTATCGTTATATTAGTTAAATGAAACATTTTATAAATTAATTTAATTAATTATTGGTTTTTTTTAATCAAAGAAGAAAATATATTCCTAAAGTAATTTTTTTAAATCTTGAATGTGATTTGTAGTAAT